TGCATGGAGGCAATAGGAAAACAAGGGAGGTAATTGTGTTATTATTTCCTGTGTCAATGAATTTTAAGGGTACGGAAATAATGCCCAATGGTCGTATAATAGTGAGTAGATAACCTATTGAGCAAAAGACATAGAAATAAATATATTCTGACTTTCTTAGAAAATATGAAATTATTGCTTTAACACTGTAGTGGGTGACAAACATGAACGCACAATTCCCAAGATCAAAATTAGTTTCATTTGAATTTTCAGTCTAAGTAGCATAGTATAATAGTATATGCATAAAAAGACACTTCTATTTACATAAATTAAAGCATATTAAAGTTGCATTATGCAAAAGTATCAAGTTTTTTTCACATGACAAACCAATAATCGAGTCTCTAGACCATTGGATGGCTTAGATATTGAGTGGATTAGACAATGCCTGCCCTACCCAAGCGCTGAAATAAGCGTCCGGACAATGTCCGGGCGAATTGACCCCTTTTGACAGGCCAAATTGGCTTTCATCCGGACATAATTGTCCGACCGTGTTTTTGTAAAACATTAAGTCAAAAATATTTGAGTCGATCGCTATTTATTATTAGACTCGAAAGTCCAGAACCAAAAATCTCAATGACACGAGTCATAGTGAAAATGTTACTATTTATATCTCGGCCGCGTGCAGATAAAATCTTCAATAATTTTTAGAATCGACTCTTTTACGCTGGTTATATCAACGACCCGAGTCATAGTAAAAATATTACTATTTATACATGTATCTCTCTCGGCCGCATGAAGATAAAGTGATGAATAATATTGAGAATCGGCTCTTTTACACTGGTTATTCGAGTCTCGTAGCTAGCTTTGCGTTACTTTCGTATATGATTAGCTCTAAATCACGCCTAACATGATATGTAATTATATAAATTATTAGTAATAAAAGTACATGTAATAATAATATTTTAAAATTAGTTTACAAAAAAAATGTCCAAGTTGACTATGGATGTAATTAGGGACAGAATTTTTATACGAAAATATCTCACTTTGTTGGACACTTCCGATGTGAATGTAAATAGAAGAGCTGTGAAAACATGTCGAATAAAATAACTTCTTACTTTTCCCAACCCTCGGACACGGATATCCCGGCTAGTGGGAAAGATCCAGAAAATTCAAAGACTGGTACTGTGTCTTAATCTTATGTCTCTCATAAAGACACTTCTAAAACGGGGGCCGTCGCCGTCACCAGTTCGAAAATTACAAACACGAACCGTAGAAAAGTGGATCAAAAATGACTTGGCAGATTCTGAACCATTTACGACAACTCAAGATGTCTATTCTTTAGTTAAATTTGAATCTTAATCAGAGTTTTTAGGATTTAGTCCCCAGCCCCACCAAAGAGATAGACATTATTATATGAACTATAAAGTTGTATTCCATATACATATAAAAACTTAAAACTCCAGGTTGTATGTGAGTCATCAATTTATTTTATTAATAAATGTATGTATAATATTATATATAAACATAGTAAATTTCAACAGTTTTTTGGTTTAATATACTTTATAAAGTATTTGTCAGGCTGAAAATCTGAAATGTCCGGCCGAAAATCAGTTCAGCCTGATTCCTCTCAAAATTTTTCAGACCAAAATTAATAAAGCACTATGCAACGTGATCTAGCTCTACAATTTTCACTAAATTATAAAATAATAAAGTTTGTGTTTAATTATATTTATACTTTATTACTATGAAAAAGGATGTTTTCTTAGGGAGGCAGACTATGTTTTTATAGAGAATAGCTTGCTTAACATTCATATTGTATATGATAGAAAATGATTACTCTGTATTAATAACCATAATTGGTCAACCTTATAGAGTGAAATGGCTTCCTGTAGATTTTGTTAAAAGCCTTTGTTTCTTAGCGTGGTTGTTGAGAAGTATTAGCATTTGTTTAATATAACATAAATTGGAGTAATTAGATTCAAGGTGAAGATGTGAAATAACATACCAGTGGCATTTCTATTAAAAGATAGGTTGCCAGGCAACGAAACATACGCCCACAGCAGCTAAATCGTCCGGGGCAGTCAACAAGAGTTGTCACATATTTTTACTTTTTTCGGTAATGAAACATTTATAATACATTAAAATCTGATTAAGAGTAATGTGGGCGTATAAAAATGACATATAAGTACAGGTGTGTGTGAAATAGCTTTATTTAACATCTGCTTCCATCTAAGTGATTTCAAAGACAATAGAAGTATATTGTCACAGCAGAGATTTCACGCCCGCCTCCACCTACATGTTGGTGATATCGCGTAAGAATATATGATGAATGACACTATGCTGTAGTGATGGTTGATTTAGATTAACTGAAATTGCCAGTAATAATGTAATGTGTAAAAGCTCATCGTATATAATTTAAAATTTAGATTTGATAGCAGTCAATGATTAATGGATAACAGCTACTTCATTCTGAACATCTGAGACACACTACCTGCGGAGAAGTATCTCAGACACAGTCAATAGCCATCTTATTCATATCACGTGATCTACACATCACAGTTCATGACATTAACGTCAATGGGTCATGAGGTCAACAACACCTTACATTGTATACAATAGGTTTATCTTCAGCATTGTGTCCTTTGCACCCATAAAGACTATATAATTTGTACAGTCCCAACATGTTCTCTCTTTTCCAATGATTTTTCACAAAAATAACATTTACAAATCATAGAATTGACGTTGTCTTCAATGACACTATTGACAGCGTCTGCAGCCATCTTGGCACTATTTTGTGCGTCGGTCGTGTCTATTTCAGATATAAACAATCAATTCTGTTTATGTTTTTAGCGTTGGGATTGACTAATAGTTAATTTATTTCAGTTCTAAAACAAATATTTTAAACTTTAACGCAAATTTAGAAAATAGCCAAATTCTGGCTGGGATTACTGAGCAAAATGGCCATTCACTGTATACGTGCGAAAAAAAAGCTAGCCACCAATAAATTTTCGGACGTTAGTTACGTACGCATCTACTTGTCACGATTTGGAAGTTATAGACAAAGACCAAATGATAAGTTTAAGAAATTATAAGTTGATCACTGTAACCGGCCTGTACATTATATACATGTATGTACATGTTTTCATGGCATCATTGAAATTTATTGTAGACAATATTAGTTTGATCCTCGCTTCCTCGCTCAAGATTAACATACATGTATTCAACTTAAATAAAGTACATTTTACTTTAACATGCTAGAATCAGGACGTTATCGGTATGCAAGCAACTGACTGTATTCTACGGCAAAACTCTGTGATCCACTGCGAAACTCTGTGATCCATCGCAATTTGGCACGCTAGCGATTCGCTAAGAACTGTATAAGCGGGGAAGTGTACACGCTTTTAACCATTCAGCCACCCGACCCCACTCCTGATTGATGAAAGAACACATTGTGAATAAGTGAATATTAGACGTTCAATGACAATATTATACATGAATATTAATAAAATACATGCATTTCAAGTTTCATCAAAATCGGATCAAAATTGTGACCACCAGAGGGTCTACAACCTTGATATACCAAATGTTTATAATACACTCTTAAAAAAAAGTAGGGGATATTGAAATGCAAATACCTATGCAGGTTGTGATGTGATAAATAGTCATGGACACTTGACATGCTTTGAAAGTATGTTCACAGATGAAGAACTTATCGCCCCAACAGAACCACTGAGCTGCATATGCGACACACAATAGCACCATACACGTGGGAGGGAGAGAGAGAGAGAGAAATGGGGTTTAACGCCCACTCGACACAAACTAGGTCATTTCAGGACTAACACATGGTTCAGTTTTATTTCAATAATTTGCTTGTGCGTAGGGGTCTTTAGCAGTGGCAGGAAACGGGAGGACCCGGAGAAAACCCACGAGGTTGGACAGGCAACCCTACTCCTTGTCACGTACAACCGGGGAATCGAAACCCCGCCAGTTGACTCAATGACAGACCGTATGATACAGCGCAGCGCACACGTGCTAACCATTCGGCCATCCAACTCCCCTACACGTGGGAGGCGTTCATTGTCAAATTTGACACTTCAAGGAAGGGTTGATGAAAACTGCCGCATGCTGGTTTATCTATCCATGTTTGCTTTCCTATCGGTTCTTGCATAAGATTTACTATGAACTGTTTATATTCATGTGTAGGCAATTGGCCTGTTATTAACATACACTGGTTACCTCTAATAAAAACAGCAGTACATTTCCGCAGTTTTGTATTGTTTCTGAATATCCCCTACTTTTTTTTGAAGAGTATATTTGCGTACGAGGAGCGGCCATTTTGTCCGGCAGTTTTGGTCCGATTTTCACAAAATTCGAACTCAGCCAACATTACAGTGTAATGGTGATATAATCTAAAAGTTTTTTAAAGCAGATAATAATTGTGACATCTAGAGGGACCACAAGTTAAAAACGTGATTTTTCGTACAATCAGAGGCCATGATTCAGGAAGTTGTGATCCGATATGGGCAAATATCTAGAGGGACCACAAGCTAAAAATGTGATTTTTTGTACAATCAGAGGCCATGATTCAAGAAGTTGCGATCCAATATGCGTAAATATCGACAGTAACCATGATCTTTGGGTTATAAACAGGCATTTCCAGTTTCATCAAAATCGGGTGAAAATTGTGCCCTCCAGAGTGTCCACAAGCTAGAAATGTGATTTTTCATACAATCAGGGGCCATAGTCCATGAAGTTCTGGTCCGATACATGCCAATATTGAAAGCAAGCGAGATCTTTGGGAGATAGACCTAAATTGTAAGTTTCGTCAAAATCAGATAAAAATTGTGACATGTAGAGTGTCAACAAACAAATTGTGGACGGACGGATGTCCGGATGAACAGGGACAACGGCATAATATGTGGGCGTATAAAAATGTACATTACATGCCATTGCAAATCAAGATATTCAATTTTTTCAAAATTAAATAATGGTGTATAGCTATTATTAATTAAAAGAAGTACCTGCATGACAGTAACCGCACCATATGTAACAGCCGTCCAATAAACAGATCCAATAAATATACCTCCAGCAACAAATGGACAAGTTTTATAAATTATCTTGTCAGCTATATCCATTATATAAACTACTGGTCCTGTAAATGCAAATAACAAAATTCTTCTGATATCAAAATTTTTGACATGTGTGCTTTTATTTTATCAAGAAACTCACATTTACACAATATTTTAGTGAAATGCTATGGATTATTTACTGATTTAAACCAAGAAATAGACAGAGACCCTAATGCACCTACATTTACAACAATAGCAAAGTCTATATCAGAATGCCATAGAGCACTATTACAGCTTGCCCCCTCTCCTTTTTCAATTTCAGAAAATTAAATATACTATTATTACCTAGTCTTGGGAAAATAATTAAATATTCGGCATTACACTGTGGACAGACAACTTTTGTTGTACTATTGCCTTTCTGTTTCTCATCAATCCATCTTTGTAAACAACTCTGATGAACCCATTTAGTTGTACCTTTACATCGACATGGCCTTACCCATGAGGCTTCTCTATCATCTTCATCTGTGGCGAAACACACCCAACAAGAACGTCTGCAAGAAAGATAATACACTGTTTAGATATATCAAAAAAATAATTTTTTTATGAACAAACGAACCATCAACTAGCCAGAATCTAATGAACTCTATAAACAGTATTTGACTAGTAACTAAGTGTCATTTTATTTGGATCTGATCACCATCTTTATTCTATACCTTACTGGTTAAGAAGTCATTCTTGAATTTTTCAACTTATTGTGTTTGATATTAAAGGTTTTTTATGTCTACCTAAGCTCAAGTCTTAATTTTAGTTGGTTGTAAAATTTTCATACAATGTTTTATTTACCAGGTGCTGGAAAATCTATTTCATCCTAAATCCAGTTGACACATCGCGGAAACTAAAAACAAGAAGCTGGCAATAATTACCTGTCTTCTTCTTCGTGTATTTTACTCTGTGCCATTATTGATAAATTCCACACACAAACAGAGAAAAACTATTTTCTGTTTTTCTCAGAAAATTGAAATGGTTCTTTAAAATCAAATGAGACGATACTGCACTTTCACTACTGTACTATCTTAGTCAAGCCATTCACATTACCTACAATTATTACAAATACATTCATCTATAACTCCTCAAATGAATAGGATGATTATGCTTCTTATAAACTTGGGAAGGCTTGAGAATTTATTACCCTTAGACTTTAACACTATCCATACAGTGTGTTGAGACCTTTCGGACTCAACACAAATGCTTCAGACTCGGTTTGATAGCAGTTCGGACTGACTTGACGCCTTTTCGGACTCGGTCTGACGATGATTAGGACTCCGTTTCGAACTAGATGAATAAATAAAAGACTGTTGAAAATTTTTGTGTATAGCCTATATATTTGTAATAGCTGGGGTTATTATTTTCATTTTAGAGACTCTTTAAAGAATTTGGTGCCCCCATATATCAGTATATATATAAAACACAAAATAAATTTGCATTTCTTCTTGCATTCGATTCCACCTTGGGTGATATTGCAGACAAAATTTGCATTTGTCAAAATGAGATTTATATACTGGTACACAGTGGTACGTCATTATTAATTGATACAAAGCTGGTAATAGTGAGAAAAGACAACAACAATGTCAAAATGAGATTTATATACTGGTAAATCATTATGAATTGATACAAAGCTGGTAACAGTAAGAAAAGACAACAACAATGGAAAAACAAATTTCTAGTTGTCTTTTGTTTTATTTAATCGGCAAGTATTGAACTTGATATTTAATTGATCGACCATTAACAAAAGATTAACATTGCTAGTTTTCTTTTGTTTTGTTTAATTTTCGACTATTGAACTTGAGAGTAACTCACCGAAACTGAATTATCATTAAAAATTTACCGCGCTCATCATGTAAATATTAATATTTGCTTTTGTGTCGGAGCATAAAACATTATTTTCGTAAACATTGAAAAAATTGCCGTTCCTCAATTAAGGGGTTTATACGGTGTGTGAAACTGTGATCCATGTGCTGTAAATTTTACCTGCATGTTATTTTTATAAAATCGTGTTTGGCTTTATTATAAATTGATTCGATGGTTGTGTTCAAAACCTCCCTTTTAACTTGTTTCTGAGTCTGAAACATCACCCACCCAAGTCAGAAACATTGAGGCAATATTTTTTTTTAGTCCCAAATGTCCCAGGAATGAATGTCCTGTAGTAATTTTACTTTCTCATTGAAATTTCAGGACAGGATAGTGTTATCATTAATGATAATAATCTAAATATTTTTGGAGTGTGGTGTAGCCAACCTACAATGTAATTTCATAAGTGAATCAAATGAGTCGTCGCTCGGTGGTATTGCGTTAGATTATAAATATCCGTGACCAGTAGTGGGTGACTGACCTGACCGAATTTCACTGCCTCTCGACACTCATCGTCTCATGGCAGTTTTGATCTGTTTATGTTAAGCAATCAAGGACAATTTAATATTAAAATATAATTCGTGTCAATTTTTATTTCTCAGCATTTTCACATATACTTACTATGACATTTATCCATGGCCTGTCAAACAAGAAAACGCGAAATACAATTTAGTAATAAATCAGAATTCGTCAAAAGTTAATAAACCATCAGTACCGGAAATGATAGAAAGTTCAAGGTTGATCATGGGAGAGTTCATTGAAGTTGGGGATCATTCATTGAATTTGTTCTTGCAGGTACTTGTTACGTCACCAAGATACAATACAGGCGCCATGGATAATTAGCATTTTCGGCATTTTTAACCTTTCATCTCTACCAAAGCCAAATTGGACCTACAAATTTTCAACTGTGGCTGAGATTCGATTTTAGCAAATAATACAATAAAACTTATAAAACAACAAAGCTACGCCTTTTTAATTTGAAATTTTTCATTGGAGACCAGCGCATTTAAACGCCTTCGATATGCTCGATATCAGGTTAATTTTAACGTTTTAAATCAGTCTTGGGGATACTTTGAGAGAAAAGAAAATCGTTATCCGAACTTATTCTTATCTATACGATACAATAGGACGAAAAGAGACAACAAAACACAGTAAATCAAATATTTATATAATTACAAGAATAACTGATTTGTTTTTGATTTTTAAATCAGTACAGGACGGGGGGTGGGGGTGACAGGGAACATGGTCTAGTAGTTCGGGTTAGACGAAAAACCGCTGAAAAGGACCATAGCACACTGCATGGCGTATGTCTGTGTTTCTTATAGCCAAGTTGGTGCAGAAACGTAGGACCTTAAAACCCATTACATTTTATTTTTATACCACAAAATACAGGGTACGTTTACTTCTTTAAATATTACTACAAACAAGTTTCGAACAACTAAAGATGACATTTATTTTCTGTTGATTAATGTTATTGTTATATAACAACAATTCAAAGTAGTTTGAATTATAGAATTCGATTCAAGGCCTACTAAGTGTGATAAACTTACATTCTCTATTTGTTAAACTGATTATTTCCTCGTTAACCATTACAAACTCTATGATCGTCATTAGAGTTGGGTGAGTTTGTTTTAATCCCTTGCATACTACAATGATGTGGACGTTAAATTTCTAAAGCAAATATCAGTCCAAAAATTCTTCGATTCCGTTCAGTATTTACAAATATATGACGAATTAAAAATGTGTCAACAATCGGCAGCCACTACAGAATTATTGTCTAAACTAGCCATCGCCGAAATTGTTTGATGGGGCCCTTTTTAAACCGATTAATTTAAAACCAGTCGGGATATTATCTATACCCAACAATATTTTGATTTTGTTTGTTTTTTATGATTGTATTTTCTCGTGGATTAAGCCGTCAAAATTAGATAGTGTTCGTAAACTGCAAATCAATGAATCAATGAGAGCCAGAGAAATGGGGTTTAACGTCCACATTTCGGGATTAACATATAATTTAATTTTATTTCAACAATTCGCTTGCGCGTAGGGGTCTTTAGCAGTGGGAGGAAACCGGAGGACCCGGAGAAAACCCACGAGGTTGGACAGGCGACCCTACTCCTTGTCACGTACAAACGCGGATTCGAAACCACGCCAGTTGACTCAATGACAGGCCTTATGATACATATAATTTAATTTTATTTCAATAATTCGCTTGCGCGTAGGGTCTTTAGCAGTGGGAGGAAACCGGGGGACCCGGAGAAAACCCACGTGGTTGGACAGGCGACCCTACTCCTTGTCACGTACAAACGCGGATTCGAAACCACGCCAGTTGACTCAATGACAGGCCTTATGATACAGCACGCACGTGCTAACCATTCGGCCATCCAACCCCCCATGAACCAATGAACGGGGCATATCTCTTTTTAGGGACACTTAATTTTAGGCGGTGAATAATATTCAAGAAACTTGACTACGTTGAAATATCTAAAGAAATTTACTTGATTTTCAGGATGAATATGAACTGAAACGGGGTTTAACGCCCTGGTATTCTGTACATTTTGCTAATTAAGACAAGCTGTCCATCTATATTTTTCGCCGGATTCTAACTGCCATGGGGTTCTTTTGGGTGCACGCTAACGTGTAAACGGAAACTCGTTTTTTTCGTTACACCGAACTACTATAGACACCATTCCGTTATGTACACCGTTAGCATGGGGAAATCACGCTGGAAAATCACGAGGAATTTTCTCTACCAACATCAGGAGGATCGAACCCACCAGCGCCTTACGCACAGAGCCACAATTTTTAAGAGAGCAACTTGCTTATCTTTCTTGAATATCCAAGTATAAATTTCGAATATATTATATTTGCTTTTCTGTATACATGTTTCGCAAAATTCCGAGTCAGTTTGATGTGTAGGATAAAGCGCGAGACCGAGGTTTTTCTGGGGAACGAAAGACTGAAGAAAATAACCTGAGAAAAAGAAAGACCGATTTTTTTCTTCTGGAGTCTTTCTTCCCCAGCATATAACCGAAGTCGAGGATTTTATCTTGCTTATAAACCGTCTATGTTTACTTGTGCACAAAATGAGAATATCTCAGAATTGCCGTAAGAAAAAACCTTCAACCATGTTTTCTTATGGAAAAAACCCCCTATACCTGAAGAATAACCCGTTACAGGTGTAAAGAAAAACTTTCAGAAGAATAGCCCCAAATTCCCCTATCCAAAGCCGCCCGACTTGCAGATCGCAAGTTATTCCGGCATAATTCCCCTGAGATCAAAGAGATTTGAAGTGGGTATAAGGGGGTATAAAACGAAGACAGAAGTCGGGGTTTTTAATATTAATTTTTAAAACAAATAAAATAATCACGGTGATATTTAGTTCCCGTGGAATAGCCTACATACCTTCAATACCAATTTGCGGTAGCCTATGTTATATAATATTAGACTTTTAACAAAGATATAGGCGTTCAAATGGGACAGATGTGTGTTCATCAGATCAACATAAATGGTTAATGATCAGGGTGCCATTATCTCTGGTGTTGACGCATTGTTTTCTTGAATATTTGATAATAACATAATTAGGGAGTGACAAAATCCATTCATAGACTTTGTAACCGAAGCACATGTTACGATTGTCAAGAAAATCTAAACGAATAGACATTTTTGATTCAATTCTTTGTTTTAAATTTAAAGAAAAAACAAGCTCTTCGTGCTTTTAAGTTTATTTTGTCTCTGGAATCAAAAAGCTGTATACACTACCTATATGCAACATTCCAAGTTTACCCTCGTCCACAAACTGCATATATTATTTTAAACAAGCGTTTTATGGATTAATACAATATCATGTGTTTGATATTGGTATATCGAACATGCAAGATTGTTTATTTTTTTTATTTTTTTTCTTTATAAACTCTTGAAATACTCTCGTTTGTCAAAAAAATACAAAGTCAAGTTTACAAACTGCGCAGTTTTGCAAACCTAACATAAATTTAAAAAATCATCATATTCACATTATATGTTTGTATTATGCGACACTTGCGGGGAATAGCCTTTATTTTATTAAATGATTTTTTACTTCCGTTATTTGAAAAAAGAAAGAAAGAATAACTAACATAACACATAAGAAAGAAAAATCGATATCATTCAGATCCTTTCGCTATAACCTTCCATCGAAACACCTACATCTAGAGTGCCCGGAATATGGATAAATATATTCGTGACGGTTTCAAGGGCACCCAAAAATAACGGTAGCGCACAAATTTTAATCGAGGGCAAGAATATTGTTTAGAGACATCTTAATTTAAAGCAAAATGCTATTATAAAATTTTCTTAATTCAATTAGGTGATATATAATTGAAAATACGAAGTCCGTCATGATAATGAGCCTCACTCTGAGGTGCCTCGAAACCCCTCGACTTAATCGGAAACAAAGAGCACTGGGTACGAGAGTGCATTCTGTTGTGCATTGCAGCTGTGAAAGATAGACGTGGCGGAGGACGGATTATAGTGTGGTTCCTTCCCCCGTAACAAGGACAGTTATTTACATCTAATGGGGGAATTTGGAATTGAAACTACAAATATAAGAGCTTTATCACCAGTGGACTTTGATCAATTGTCGAATAATCAGTATTTTTTCGCACCAGACCCTGTTCCAGTGCGTGGTAAAATGCAAGATGACGCGCTACTCGATAAGACGGCTGCTATTTCTAAACAGGCGCAGCAGATACCAGTATCAACAAACGGGTCTGATCAAAATGAGGATTCTTTATTAAAGAAAATGAACAATGGCGTCACAACTTATTCAGAGGACAAACTATCCCAACTTTCAACAGTGCCGACAGTAAGTCAGGTGCGTATTTCCGAACCGACCACGTCTGCTCCAACGACATTGTCGTCTGCTCAAGGGTATTGGTCATCAGCACCAGCAGACGACACATTTGTTCAAGGATTTCAGTCATTAAATGGTACCGTAACGTTTCAGCAGTTTTCACCGTCAACTAATGCGACAAACATGTCTAATGTGATGTTTAATACCGGTTACCCAGGTCAGGTGGGTGTAAGTTTAGCACAACAGTCTCAAAGTCAGAGAAGAGCCATCACAGCACATCATAATTTTCCACAGCGTCAGCCAAACATAATGATCAATAATGCTAAATCTTATCCAAATTGGAGCAATGCACCTGTCCAGTCCTGGTCTGGTCAACAAAATCAAGCCACATTGTCTCCTTGGACTAATGTACAGCAACAAAGAAGATCAGTGCCGAATATTAATGCATTGGGTCCTATGAAAAAGCCTAATTTTCAGCATGTTTCTAATATTCAGCAGTCATCAATGGTTGCACCATCGAAGTTTCGAAGGAGTACTTCTTTTCCAGGACAAATTCAGCAAGCAGCAATGGGAATGAAACCGTCATTTGAATATTCAGGATTTGAAGACCTTCAGAATCAACAAAGAGAAGGAGTTTTACCTTACCAGGTGAGACATTTGCAATTTTTTATTGCCAACTGAACATTGATATTTATTGTAATTTATTTGTAAGAATTAGAACCAATCTGTCCACCGATCGATTTAAATAGTTCTAGGCTCTACCCAAGTCCTACCTGTCACTGGCTGTCAGACATAATCATTAGGCTAGTGTCGTGATCAAGTGCTGTCATACGTTCATGTAATACTAATACAGGTAGGCCTAGCTAGTGTCTGGTGCCGGGTGTAGAAATTTTTTAAAGTCTATAGCCTAGCCTTCCTTTTTTTTGTCAGATAGCTAAGTGATGCATAATATTAAATAAAACACACACATGTGAGTATACCTAGCTGTTACCATATAATGATTGACATAATAAAGTTCAAGAGCAATGTGTACATGTAGGCTAGATAAGGTAGGCTACATTCGTCGATTCGATCTACTTTGCATAGTCTGAATTATATTTAGATAAAGTACACATTTATACCAAAGCAAAATGCAAACAGATGATGCGAAACAGGAGTAATGTTAGTATTGTTACTTAGAATCTGTCCACCACTACAAGTTGGTTCTCAATCTTACACTATTATTATAATATTCTATGACATGAATTAACGGGAATAACCCAGATGTTCATTGTACATATTTGACTAATCTTGGTGGACAGATTCTACTTCTAGATAACGACTTGCTAAAGCGTTTTGATGTTTTAGTTTTTTTTAGCCATATATTTTTTTAGTGCAAGCATGGCTTGTAAAGTTTCAGCAGATCTGTTTCAAATTATGTCTATTGTTAAGTCAAATAGCGATTTTTTTTTTATTTTCCTGAGCACGAACCATCTTTACACTTATAGTAAACCTTTTTTTTTTAAATATTTGGCACTGTAATACTAGTTTCAAATGCATGTAAGTTTACTTTATACAAATTTGGTTTCAACTTTTGGGAAATTTGACAGAATAAATGAGTAAGATTATCGTTGTTTTGAGAAAAGCTGTGTAGTAATTATCACAATGGTGGTTCACTTTGACTTTGCTAGGGTCTTCTATACTTCTATTAGCTAATAAAGTAATAGCTTCATATCACTACCGGTCTAGTGATAGAACTGATAGTGTTGTAATTTCTACAGATTCTAAAACCCTTCTAATACTAGCAAGAAAAACAACAAATATTTGTACTATTAGGAGGCCTATGGATATTTTGGGTGACTTTGCATTCTAAAAAATTAACTTTTTTTGGATGTCCAATAAAGTTTGTTCTTCAAACTACATATTATTACATTATTATGATAAATTAAATTAATTTATAAGAAATTTGATCTAGATTATCAAATAATTCTGGGCAGAAGGATATAGGTATAATAAAGTGGTATAAACACTAAGCGGAATAATAGGTTAATTAATGCATGTATATGATTTATACCCTAGATATAACATAACATAATTAACAATGTATTTCTTTGACAGTTGTGTAAATTATAATTCACAGTACTAAACTGGGGTTTAATGCAGGTGTTGAAATTTCTAGTGAAAAACCCAGTGTGTACTTGCAGTCTTTTATTTTAGGGCTGTTGAAAAACGTGCCATTGTACACTACAGTCTGTGTTCACACTGACCAGTCAGTTTTCAAATTACATAGTTTAAAGAATTGGTAGTGTTGAACACCAAAAACAAAATTTACATACAATATAATTATTGGCAGTATTCTATTGCTAATATTTTGGATGCCTGTGTTTCTCGCTATGCACCTGGGTTTTAATTCACTCAGTTACCGGTAGTTAAAGATGCATTATGTAAGAGCTATAAAATCTGCCCATTATTACAGAACATTCGTTTGGCCTGAAATGTTAAATAAATCATTAGACATCTATATGCCAAACCCATAATCAACTCTCTCGACCATCGACTGGTTGTGATTTTCAACAGATATAAAAATATGAGGCAATTTAATAATTTAATTAAAAAATGGATAATCGGGACATGATTTATTATCATAACAATGGTAGCAATGACAATCAAGACTGCACTATTCTTTAACGGCCATAACAATATATACACATTTCTTTATCTATTTTTGAACTATTATAGTTATAGTGCGAACTGTCAGCTTTTTATCGAAATCTTGCATGATGTGTCCATAAAGTTTCCATTATATGAAGTTATACGAAGAAAAATATGACCCATCCAGCTGAACAGAAATTATCTGCATTCCCACTTAAAGGAGCTAAGCCGCTATTAGTCGCTAATATTTGGGACCTAGAAATTGACACAAATGGGTCGCAACGCATACAATTAATGTAATATGAATGTATATAAATTGATTTACATTCAATCGTTTCTGTTTTTACAGTAATTTCTAATCAGTTAGGTTCGGCGAAATACACCAGTATTCTCAATCGAATTTCAATCTCTAGCGTCTGGTTATTCCAGTCTACACCGATAGTATTTATTGTGCATGCTCTCCAGATAAGAATATAGCGTCACCGTTTGACATGACTTGTGGAATATGCCTAGCCTCGTTTTTCGAGTTCCTTATTACAAATAGGGCTGAAACGCATTATGGTACACGATTCGTGTACCAATTGTAAAATGTTTATTTTGTCTTAAATGTTGGATATCAGAAGGCCATCTTTTCCCGGTAAGATCACAACATCAATGTTGATTTAAACCAACAAATATATAGTGTTTTCAATGTCGAAGATTTTGGATGATATTGAGTTAGAGACTTAGCTACTTTAAGCTGTTATATCACAATTGTTTATCTGGCACAGTTGAACTCATATAGTTCACAGTGAGAAGGTTTTAAGGTTTTATGTTATTCCCCAATGTGAACAAAGACATTAATGGTCTTTAATTGCATTTATTAGCATATTTCTACTTTGCAGGACAATAAATAAAATTCTGTGTATGATACTATAATTGTGGTCCTTGATTAATTTTTAAAATCTGGTGGATGCTCTAGGGCCTAATTAAAAGTTATACACAGTGTTATGCTTGCAATCCTATCCAGTGTGATTGTGTGCTGCTGGAAATGCTAAGCGATTTTGTCAACTGCAATCATATGCAACTTACCCTGCTGTCACCAAACTAAGGTCAAACCTGTCAAAGGAATCACATGATGGTCAGATGATTACTGATCAGTACAAAATGACGGCGCTATCTTCTGAGGTTAACAATAAAATTTCTTAAAAGCTGGTTCTGCTATGGCATGGTCCATGTATTATCCTTTTTTTGCATTCTGTTGCAAAATTGCTTATCTCTACATGTATATTGTATGTCACTGCAGCTAGTTTCAACCGATCACAGGAAAGTAGAACATATGCAACTAATTGCAACTGTATTTTTCCACAATTGGATCAGATTACAAAACCCTTTGTCGCTTTTTTCATGAAACTCGCAGTTGCGTCCATTTAAATCAAATGCTATTGCATACAGTTTCATCAGATTTCAACGAAGGAGGGCATAAGCCCCCCTTAAATATCTATACGATAAAGTATGGCAGTATATTAGACTCAAAATTCTAACATGCTATCGTCTAATTTCTAACTTCTATTCATGTAATTTCTAACTTCTATTCATGTAGGGGGGTTGGATGGCTGAATGGTTAGCATGCTCACGCTGTATCATAAAGTCTGTCATTGAGTCGACTGGCGTTTCGAATCCCCGGTTGTACGTGGCAAGGAGTAGGGTCGCCTGTCCAACCTCGTGGGTTTTCTCCGGGTCCTCCAGTTTCCTCCCACTGCTAAAGACCCCTACGCGCAAGCGAATTATGTAAATAAAATTAAACCATATGTTAGTCCCGAAATGACCTAGTTTGTGTTGAGTGGACGTTAAATCCCATTTCTCTCTCTCTCTCTCTCTCTCTCTCTCTATTCATGTAATTTCTAACTTCTATTCATGTAATTTCTAACTTCTATTCATGTTGTTTTCACTTTCAACACTCTGCCAAACCATTCACCTTGAAGAAGAGCGAGTCGTTGGTATCAACATAATGGTCCTGATCATACGGTGGCCACACCAAACGACGTCATAATGATGGTTGCTAAGTAAAAGTATCGAAATTCTAAATTTGTTTGACTTTCATGCTTAACATGTAAAGCGACAACAAAGTAGACATTTTACGTCTTAATAATAGAAATAAGATGAAACAGAATTAAAATTTACACTGAACAAAAAAAGAAGTTGGATTATACATTGTCTTAATTTAGAAATTACATTAATAGAAGTTAGAAATTACATGAATAAAAGTTAGAAATTAGACAATAGCGTGTTAGAATTTTGAGTCTAATATACTGCCATAATAAAGAGGCCTTTTGGTTTTTATTGATTTCCGATTATTACTGTCAAGGAAGGACTCAAGGTTATTGTACTTGATCAATTTGAAAAATCTTGTGGACACTCTAAATGCTAAAGTTACTATCCAATCGACATAATGTTTATAATTATGTTGATGAGGTATATGTAAAGAAGTTCCATTTAAAGTAGCTAAGTCTTCAACTCAATATCATCCACAGTTTTCGACTTTGCAATCACAACATATTGGTCAGTTTAAATTCACTGTGATGTTATGTTATGGTGAAAAGATGGGCTTCTGATATCCAATATTTAAGACACAGTGAACGTTTTAAAATTGGCCCATGAATCGCGTGCCAGAATGCTTTTGAGCAGGGTTCCTAATTAATCTTAATCAATTTTGAAACGAATCGGCCACAATTGGGTCAAATGAGGTGATGGGTTTTAAAATTATAAGCTTCCATTCCCTTTAATATAACAAGGCTTCAGCAAAAATAATTCTTGGTAATTTGTTATGAGGAATATCGTATTCTACTGTATGTAATTACCACAAAAATAACGACAAATAGGTACACCGTTCGCAAAATTTTCCATATTTCAAAGACAATATTGGTTCAGTCATTGTTACATATGTAATAGAACTGGTTAAACACGTTCCAAATATAATTTTAACACCGAGATCATTGCTACGATTGATGCGTTACAGAGATTTCTAGAAAGGAATGTGACGAACGCAAAAGGAAAACACAAGTTATCCTTCCATATAACTGACTGAAGTGACAAGTGATAACAGATACACGGGCTGATTCTCAGTAAGATATGCTGTTTATTGTACAAGTAATAATCAACAAGTAATAATTAACCTGTTTTAATTCAGCCGAAAGTAGATTGATTTATGATACCATAGTGGCCAGTTTATTGTTTTACCAATTGGCTTGATTGAACTTCAAGCGGCTAAATCCGACAAAAAACAGCCAATTAAGAGTTTTGAGTGCCATTTGTAATGACGATACTCGATGAACGAGGCTAAACATATCCCAGGGGAGAATACTACCGGTGTAAACTGTAATAACCAGATGCCAAAGAATGCTACTCAATTGGAACTCTTTGCATATTTCGCCTAACATAACTGATTAGAAATTACATTAAAAACAGGAACGATTGAATGTAAATCAGTTTACATGTATATACATTCACATTACATTATTATATATGCATTTCGGCCCATTTGTGTCCATTTCTAGGTGCCAAAGATTAAAGAATTAGCTCCTTTAACCATTTGGGTTAATAAAAACGTATATCCCATATTGTGTGCTATGAAGGAAATTTGCACCGACAGCAACTGAATTCAAACTGTTAAGGGTTCTTTTAGATGCACCTCAACATTCAAATGCAACCCCAGTTTTCCATCCCATCCAAATGACTGCTCCGTCCTACACCACCAACTATCTCGGGATCAAACCTCAGACCTCCTGGTTAGTGAGATAGCAACATACTCTCTTAGCCAGGACATAAATTGGAATGCGTACAAATCATTGCCCAAGTGTAACATTGGAATGGGGGGGAGGGGTACATAGACATCAACTCGATACTGTATTTTGATTTGAATGTGAATTCTCTTCAGTCTCTCATCAAGTCAGTACAGTATAGAAAAAACTTTAGAAAATAAAGTGTCACTGGGTAATCTTGGGAGCTTTATTTATGATTCCAAAAAAAAGTGTCAATCCAGATCTTTACTTAATACATTTATTTTCTGTACATTTATATCTTATTAATAATGAATGAAGTTGGTCAACAGATGGTATTTTAAATTGATTCCACAATTTGACAAATGAATTTGCAGATTGTACACTGTTTTTGTTGGCATACCTGACATTCTATTTTTACAAACTACTTTAACTGCCTGTGTGTAGTTTCAACAGTATGATACACTAGTCATTACAACAGCTGGATACATGTATACTTACATGTTGTGCCAAGTAAATTCAGAACTATACTGGCTTTTACTTAATAAATTTTTTTTGTGTCTTCTTTCCAAGATTGCTGATTTCTTTGTTTATTTTAATTTAATCTGATAATATTCCATTTGTGTAAATTCTTCAATTTAAATCCTACATGAGAAAAATGCAATTTTATAAAAAAAAAAAAATAGTATGCTACCTTACTATTTCAATCAAAACTTAGCTTTTAAAGCTATCTGTAGCTTTTCTGAAAGTTTAATCTCCAAATATCGTGTCATTAATCGCTAAAACAGCCTGTAGAACACATAAAGAGGCAATAATACATCAATCGGCGTATTAATTTTAAAATTCTTACAGTTTAAGATTCAGTGTTTGCAGTATTATTGAAAAATTGCCATTGTTTATATCTTGATAACGTTGCTTACTGTAAAGGCCATTTTACACGATCCTACTTTTGTTCAAGAACATCATCCAACATTTGTAGGATGATGTTCAAGGTCATGAGGCGTCCACGAACATGTCAATTTACACCATACAACATTTAGTGAACATGTTCAAGATTGTTGATGGATTTTGGAGGGAAACTTCAATGTTCCATCATGGATTCCCACAGAAGGTTGGTTTCCATTGGAGCAATTAGCAATCAATCAATCAATCAGTTAGATTTAAAAGACAATTAGATTAATTGCCCCATTATATATTAAATGTTAATCTTAATCTCAAGGTGACAAGTGTCAAACCAAATAGTAAATTCTAATGGCCTTTAAGTATCTCATCATTTTATGGTATTGGTTACTTAATATAGAAAAAAATGTTCCATTTTGTTTTAAAGTCATGCTGAATAATTTTATCAAATTACTTGAAATGAAATGTAGTTACAGTTACAACAACAGTTTTTATCACCTCCGCCCTTGATGTAATATTTTATAAAAATGACGATTGATACAGAAAAATCAATTATTGTGGATTGATTAAGACTTTTTACTACTTGAAATAAAATGTAGTTACAGTTATAACAACAGTTTTTGTCACCACTGCCCCTCTCTTTAAACTTTATTTTTGCCTTGTGATATTTTATAGAAATCACAATTCAAACAGAAAAATCTATTATTGTGAATCGAAGATTATTTTGAGCCCAATTTTCTTGGTGCTTCATGGTAGAAAAAAATGAGGTTGTAAAAAAAGGTTTTTCTTTATATTATATAGTCAAAAAGTAATGGGTAATGGTAATTAATTACATTGCTACAAATGAGAAAGTAATTGTCATGTGACCCAATACACCATGTGACCCAGAGAAGCATTCTCATTGGTTCAAGGCCTTGAACACTGTCCTACCATGTTCAAATTAATGTGCATGCTCGAACACCATCCAACATGTTCAAGCTTGTCCAAGCTTGTTCACAGTTGTTCAAATTCCCATACACACGATAGGACATTTTCCTGCGAACATCATCCTACAAATGTTGGATGATGTTCTTGAACAAAAGTAGGATCGTGTAAAATGGCCTTAAGTTGTAACTAAAGTTATTTTGGTAGCCAACTAATTTAAGAAATGAAGTGTTGGATAAGTTTGTAGATGACCATAATATAGTATGTTTAAATGCCAAGCGAAAACAGTACATACATCGTTGGTTATATAAATTAACAACAATATTTATACATATACAATGTATGTACATGGAACTTGTGTATGTAGCTTACAATTGGGTGAACAGATAGAGAGATACATTTTGGTAGCCAACTAATTTAAGAAATGAAGTCTTGGATAAGTTTGTAGATGACCATAATATAGTATGTTTAAATGCCAAGCGAAAACAGTACATACATCGTTGGTTATATAAATTAACAACAATATTTATACATATACAATGTATGTACATGGAACTTGTGTATGTAGCTTACAATTGGGTGAACAGATAGAGAGATACATGTACATGCACATGTATGTACATGTAGGTCAAATGCATCTTGATACCCTTGGTAAGTTGGCGCAAATGCACTACAAGTACTATATTAATCACAAATCGGTTAATGAAAGAGAACGCACAGTTGACAAAACACAGTGACAATTTTTAATTATATTTATATACATGTTATATTGTGTTGTTTCAAGAAAAATGTTTCGCTACATGTATGTGCGGAGACCATGAAAGTTAAATTTTTCAGCAGTTAAATGTTTCTGGAGAATATAACTATATTTAATGGTATTCCTATATAGAAACTAAAAAAACACCACAATATTCAATATTTTCAATGTCCCAGAAGAATGATAATAATTGGGTTAATGGTTTAGTTTACCAAGTACATGTACATGTAGCAAGGTTTCTAGAGAATATAACTACATAATGTAATGCTATTCATTATCTCGTGGGGTTACCCTCACTCCAGATTTGAAGTTAGGTACATGTACATGAGAACTGTACGTTTCATGAGTACTACTATTAGAAATTAAAAAAAACCCAGAGCCCAGAATAATTATCGATGCCCTAAAAGAATTCTGATAATTGGGTTTATTGTTGTATGATTTAATCTACAGTTTACATGCATTTTACAACCACACATTCTAAATCGTATCTCGGTATGTTATTCTATGATCTATTTATGTTTGCTTGTACTTGGCTAACTGCCAAGACATAAAGTACCAGATTTTAGGCATTCATTGCCACATGTTGCTCTACTGCATTTGATGCTAGGACAAATTTTCAAATATTTTTAGAACAACCAATATGTCTTATCTGACAATGATGCAATAATTTTGTTTGAACAGCTTCCAGACTAATTAGATTATCACCAAAGTAACTTAGAAGTATATGGCATGGCACTATTGACTAGAATCGCCAGGTTTCGAATCTTCTATTTTTCTAATCAGATTCTAAATTATTGGGGTTAGTGGCAGGAGCAGTTGACAAGAAAAGTCTTCCTCAGCATAAAACCTCCAAAAATGCAGATATATAATTAAAGCACAATTTAATGGTAATCTTAATAATTCAAAAATGAGGAAATCTAACATTTTTGACAAGTTATTTATTGTAATAAAGAAAGCAAGATACGTGTACATGTATAAGCTTACTCTAATCTTGTACATGTAATCTAAATGCCAACAAGATGTAATTTATTAAAACAGTTATTAATGATATAGTTTAATTTTGTTTCAGAATGAACGTCCAGCATCCTTTGATACAATGAGGTTTCCAGCTTTGGAAAGTCAGTTACTGGATATTATGAGGACAACAGTTGATGGCCAAACAGCAGATCATTTTAGAGGTAAGATTGTCACAATATTCTTTATCCACTGTTAGGAGAACTCACAACTTTCCAGCTTAGTAAATATATTTATAACCATCTACATGTACATGCAAAATTTTATTACAAATTCATCTAGTGGAATTGCATAGTGGATTGGTAAGTGCCAATTTTACAAAAATAATTTGAGAGCGGGAGTGTTGCCCCCCTCTCTGAAAAAAGGTTCTGAAGTCGGTCAAATGGTGCAGTCTAATGTTTTATGAGTGAAAATGTGTGCTTTAATTTGTCAGTTGTATGTCGATTATGAATATTAAAATTTGATAGGTTTAGAAATATTGTCTGACAATTACTTATATTATATGCCGATTATATATTAAAATCTGATATGGTTTGAAATATTGTTTCCTTTCTTCATGCTTAAAATTTCAATCGTTTTGCAAAGTTAGATAGTTATTCTATATGCCCCAACTATTTGGAACTATCCTTAGAAACAGATCATCTGGGTAATTTCTTTATCCAAACTATTTAAATGATCTTTATGTTATCTTTAACCTTAAGACAGACACACTGGTATAGACAACAATAGCCTAGGGCATATGACCTACATGTATAATATACAAGATACACATGTACTGTACATTAAATAGATCTTATGAAATATGTTTCACCTCATTAACTTCTTAAAATAAACACACACACAGTTATACATGTTGACACTCCTTAGTTTCTTTGTTTTTCTGTCTAAATCAAATAGGCATTTATTATGAAATCCATGTTCATTATAAAATAAAAATAGAAAGAGTTGCTGAATCGATTTATTCAAGAATTATTTTTCTAAATACCAGATATCGTTATTTTGGGAACAAACTAATACAGTTTCACATTGGCTCAGTGTTTTTAAAAAGAAAAATGTTTGGGTACGCTGACTGTCAGATGTGGGCATCTTATAAATGGATACCGGTACTCCTATGCCCAATAGTGTGATACATGTATGCAAGTGTCAGATATGTTTTCCAGAGAGGGGGTGTTACTCCACTTCTAAAATTGTTTTCTCAACTTTGGCACACACCATCCAATTCCACTAGATGAATTTGTAATAAAACTTTGCATAGAAATTTAGTCACTAGGACTAGCCCAACTTTTCTGGCACTGAAGTGTGTACTGTACTATAAGGACCTGGTGTCGGACTACAGTGCCAATTATTTCATTTTTATACACAGCACACGTAATTTTAAAGTGTATACTTTTGTCTAGCCAGGCAGCAACACATGATACATAGATGCAGCAATATATCCTGCCAGCACTTCAGTGTCGATGTTCAAGTAATGATTTCCGATAATTTCTTTAAAAAGTTATTGCCCTTGCTCGAAAAAATTTGTGGACATGCTTGACCAATCTGTTTCACAGAGGTATTGCGAAAGTCTTCTTATAACTCTGTATAAGATGACTGCTTTCTACATGTGATGTCACTTCAAAAGTCGTTGATCATTGGCTCAATGGTGCATGCATTGTTTACATAGACGTTTTAGGGTAAAACTGGTCAGGCAGACTGGTGCTTTTTACTTACATATACATCAAACACTTTTATTTATTTTTCTAATACAGTAGAATCTGTATGAGCAGCCACTCCTATTCAGCGACATCTCCTTGTAAGCGGTCACGATAAATTCCCCCCGTAGAAATTCTGTTGTTTCATCTCTTTATTCAACGGTCACTCCTCTAACGCGGCCAGCGGTCACTATTTTACTAATAAATTCAACAAAACATCGCCCATTCAACGGCCATTGTTGAATGGTACCATCTTGTCGTTCTTTGTAACACCCCCGCTAATCCCGTGAGTAGTAGTTAATTAACTGGACGCCCACTGATCAGGTAAAAAGAAATGTAAACATAACAATCAACCCGGGATTATCTGTTGATTAATCTTTTGTTTTATTAAACGACTAACCTGATCATTGTTTTCACGCGTAACGACACATTATTTGATACTGATTGAATAAAATAAAAGTACCGAGTTTTGTCACGATCATCTAGTATCTCTCTTAGCGCCTCCTATAATATTACATACAGAGTTACACCCCCTGTAAAAAGGAGATATAATTAGCGATGTTTTTTGTTCATGTGCTTTTTTGATAAAATAAAATGAATTCATCGATTTTCTTCACAAAAATGGATAAATATTATCGAATGCATCACAATGGTAGACAGTAGTATCGAAGGTTGGTACAAAATGACAAGTTTACAGAAGTTATGTCCGAGATTTGAGTAAAGAATTTTCGTCCGGCGCAAGATTCAGCGACGGCCAAATTTACCGCTTCCAATGCATCCAAGCGTAATATTTAATTTATGTCGACACAAAAAGCAACGAGATTTTATTAAGAGGCCACTCCCGTTAAGTTATGTCCGAGATTTGAGTAAAGAATTTTCGTTCGGCGCAAGATTCAGCGACGGCCAAATTTACTGCTTCCAATGCATCCAAGCGTAATGTTTAATTTATGTCGGCACAAAAAGCAACGAGATTTTATTAAGAGGCCACTCCCGTTAAGCGGTCAGTTGTGAAAATTCCCTTGGGTGGCTGCTTAATGCAGATTCTACTGTACTTCAAAAAAATGTTCTAGAATTTAATTTGCAGTAGGAAAAAAGTTAATATAGGGAGCTCAGCTCATTAACCTGCGCCAATGACATCCCTATCAGTGCTTGTGGCGGCGTAGTGAATATTCACTGCTGATCAGTGTGATGTTGGACTTGAAATTGATGCATACGTAATAAGTTATCTAACTTAATTTGATGGAAAATTGTTTGTAATGTTAAACATACATTATGCAAGAGCAAAATCTGATTATTGCAAGTCTTAATTTAGGCTTCAGATGTTATAGAAATTATAAATTAGATCTTTATTTAAACAAGCCCAAAATCAACTCTGTAGACTCACGGATGGCTCGGCTACAGCTCAGATTTAAATAGGATTTCACTTATCAATTAATTCAAATATGGCGCATCCTGATGAGAATACGTCAGTTAGATCGAGGCTAAATGATAGAGTGTACTTAGCGAGGCCGCTGTAGAGCGTTTCCGCATGCCATTGAAAACTTTACTTGATAATCCAGATATGTAGGTGGAGTTAACGCCTGTCAATCAAACGATCAGCCACGGTGAAGGCACATTTCACTACCATTTGTAGTCAAATATTACATTTACAACGATGATACATGTAACTATGTTCAGAATAAAGTAATTTGACTGAAATTTTCAAAATATTCTTCTTTCATCATCTACTTTTGAACTGTTATAGCAAGAATGGCCAATTCTCTGTAAAAATCTCCCATAATGTATCTTTAATATTCATGAGGCAAAACCTATTGATTTTCAATGATTTGAGATACACTTGTCTTACATGTACTTCATTTCGAGTTATTACTTTTGATCTGTCTGAAAAATTTTGTGGACATGTCCTAGAGGCAGAAGTTAAAACCTGTATGTTAGTGCTCCTATGGCTAGTCGGTAAGGTTATTCGGAGATGTCCCCCATTTCATAGAGTTGTGTCTGATTATATTCCTCTTTATAACAAAACTTGCCCGTTGTCATTTTGTATTTGATGTTTGAAAATCTTAGAATGTAACAGTAGTCCTACGATGTCGACTGCTAAAAAATAATACTATTAATAGCACTCGTCGTAGTCATACGACTTTAGCTATTGTTAATCCAATCTAAATACTTCACAGCATTTCTAACTATATTCTACCTTGTTTAATATTTACTTAAAAACGTAACCACCATTCAAAATATAATCATAAAGTAGGCTAGAAAATGACATCATACTAGATTCGTTACGACATTCAACACATTTCATATCTCGTAATTTCTACTTTGGTTTTTAGTTAAAGATACATTATGGGAGATTTTTTTTATAGAGAATTGGCCATTCTTGCTATAACAGTTCAAAAGTAGATGATGAAAGAAGAATATATTGAAAATTTCAGTCAAATTGTTATTCTGAACATAGTTATCATCGTTGTAATATTTGACTACCGTAGAAATGGTAGTGAAATGTGCCTTCACCGTGGCTGATTGTTTGATTGACAGGCGTTAACTCCACCTACATATCTCGATTATCAAGTAAAGTTTTCAATGGCATGCGGAAACGCTCTACAGCAGCCTCGCTAAGTACACTCTATCATTTAGCCCCGATCTAACTGACGTATTCTCATCAGGATGCGCCATATTTGAATTAATTGATAAGTGAAATCCTATTTAAATCCGAGCTGTAGCCGAGCCATCCGTGAGTCTACAGAGTTGATTTTGGGCTTGTTGTTTAAATAAAGATCTAATTCATAATTTCTATAACATCTGAAGCCTAAATTAAGACTTGCAATAATCGGATTTTGCTCTTGCATAATGCATGTTTAAATTAACCAATCATAAAAATTCTGCTTGCAAGCGAGGAATTATTTCTTTATTGTCCAATCAATAGACGCCTTCCAATTTACTTTATTCTATTCTTAGTAACATTGTGTAATCGTAATATTATCGCCATATGTCACGTACAAAGGGAAACAGAGTATTGTTTTGTATATTATCGTAGATATATATTGAATTAAAAAATGTTTCAAATGAACCAAGTTAACCAGGTAAACAAATAACTACGGCCTTAGATAGTTTAAATTTTCATTAAAGAATTGTACATGTCTATGAAAAAATTCCTGAAATTTTTGCGCATGTAATGCCTTTTAGGCGAGTATAGCGTGCGCACAAGTAATGACTCGCACCCCCTGACAAGCTCTGTTTTATGTTTAAAATTGATACCATACGGTTAAACGGTTACTAACCGGTTAATAGCTATGGTTATTCGAATAGCAAACAGTCCTAACCGTAGGAGCACTACTATATGTAGTAGTACAACCTTTACACCTGTCGTCACCGAAACTGTTTAAATGAACACAGTCACACACTAATTTTGAAATGTAGTTATTGTTTTGCGAATTACATCATAAATTCATAACACACAAGACATTCTCATTTACTATCAACAATGTTTTATGGTACAGTTGTATTTATCAGACACCATGCGTTTTCTTAAGGTTGTTATAAAAAGAATATATGTTCCCATCAGTAGTGTAGGTATGTGTTGAGGGTGGGGCCGGGGGGGGGGGGGGGAGTGCCCTTAGAGTCTAGACACCTGACAATTTTATTTTTCAACGAAAATCAGAAAGTTCTTAATTGTCTTATAAGGATTATGTTTAAGTATGTTGGATCACTAGATAGTGTGTTTTGTGTTGTGGGTTTCGTATGTGGGCGGTAAACTCAAGGATCTCCAGTTGCTGACACAAACTTTAGCTACATGTATGCCCATACTGGATACAGTGTATATAACTTTGCAAACATATATTGAAGTTTTAATGTACAGTAATGAAAGAAGATGTAATTTGTGTAAAAGTTGATGTATTATTTGTTTTATCTTGAAGGTAAAGCACAGTTTCATCTTGATGATAATCATCTTTTAGATGATGGATCTTTAGATCAAACAGTACCTAATATCAGTGGATCACTACGTGGTTCACCTAATTCACAACCTGGGGTAGAGCATATGGAAAGGTTCTCGAGGAAAGTTTTTGTAGGAGGATTACCACCTGATATTGATGAAGGTAAAAATATTTGCTTATAAAATGTAAACAATACTGCATAGGGATAGGTCTAGTTTTAATTAATAAGATGTCTTGAATTCAATTTCAATTGTCAGACAGTTTTAATTATAAGATTACTCTCTCCTGTGAATAGATTACTAAATAAGGTAATTGTCTCCAGCACATGAAATACCAAATGCAATATTGCCTGTGCTTTTGAACTAGTAATCAACAGTGTCTGCAGAGGATATTGACATATTTTCAATTCATCATATCTTTGTGTACAATTGTATATTGTAAATATGGAATTAAACCATTTTTGACCTGATATTCCATTTAGAGATTCAAATATTGTAGTTTGCAAGTGATTACAAATCCCATAAATGACCTTCAGAGCCTTTAATTAATGAAGCAAAACTACATACATGTAATGAATGGATAATTAATTTCACAATTATAATAATTTATTTTAATTTGTTAATTTCTGTAGAGGAGATTACAGCAGCTTTCAGAAGATTTGGTCCATTAGTTGTTGACTGGCCTCATAAAGCTGAATCTAAGTCATATTTTCCTCCTAAAGGTAGGTTTATTTTCGGTTGTTTGATGATATATTTAATTTAGTAAATGGATTCTACATTACTCTAGCACTATATTAAATGAAATTTTTCTGTTAAAACAATTTAGCAAAATCAAAAGCAGAAGTTTTCATGAAGTACAAATTGTAAATTCAATGTTTTGTTTTTGTTAAATTACTTACTACATATTATTGATCAAACTTTATCAATAATATAAATAATTCTTCATTTTCAGGTTACTGTTTTCTTATATTTCAAGATGAACTCTCTGTTCAAGCTTTAGTAGAAGCATCATTAGTTGATGATGATAAACTGTATTGGTGTGTGTCTAGTCCTACCATGAAAGATAAACCTGTAAGTACTAAAATCAAATTAAATGGATTATTCTTGCTTTATCTAACAGTCTAGTGCATACTTTGGATTATTTGTTGTCGAAAAGACCATTTTTCATGACAGAATATCACTGTATGATTTATGTAGCCAACACGTCACAGAACACTCTGCTGATCTTTACCCAGATATTCGGTGTCTGGGATAATTTATAATGGCTCAGAGTTTACTTGCTGTTTGAATATGATTGAGGTATCAGAATAAATTACTTTGTAAGTTATAGCCAGGTATGATATTTTCATATTTTGATGATGTTCAGGCTTTGACTTTGTTGGCAATTATATTCCATACACCAGTGTACAGTAATTTCTCTATTAAAAACACACACACGCACACCCAATTTGTCCAGTTGATTGCCAACAGTGAACGTTATGCAATATAATAATTTTCAGTGCATGACCTGTATTTGTGGACAACAGAAGATCAAATAGAAATTAAATATGTCTTTATGTAATGCAACCCACCACAATGAAGATCCATGCGGAACATGAAATATGTTGAGTTTGTACTTATTTGATAATGAGATTGTAAGAAAATACAGATCATAATATTAGTAATGCAATTTTACATATTAATTAAAAGATATTGCCATGTCATTGATTCATAAAACCATTAATAAATTTATGTATTCAGAACATTATAAATAAGGCTGGTTACACACTAATGCCTGTCACCATTCAGTCTTGTGTTACATGTAGATGGCGAACATTTTGTTTTGATAATCAAAGTTATTTTTCCAAATGCATCAAGTTTTTAGTTTACAGACATATTAAATAAATGTAGGGCCTACCTATACATTTGTTATTTATTTTGAATATATATATAATCTATTTAAACCACCAAGCTTATTGCATTTGTATGTCGCAGATGTTGACAAATTAATCAATACAATCTCCTCTTCGTATCAATTTCTGCCTCAATGTCAATTCAAAGTCACCAACATCATAATGTGATCTCAAGTTATAAGCCGGTATAGGCCTATATATATGTGACGGTTGTATGATTGTTATGTTGAACTAATAGTCCAAGACAATAATACCTATCTTTATTAGATGGCAGTGTATCATATTTCAATCAAGATATCGTGCATAATATTTAAATACTAGCTTATTATTATATAGTGATCCATGTTCAGGGTTTCTGGTATTGTGTATCTTCATTGAATGTTATTTCATCAAGGTTTTTACACGCTCACATTTTCATGTGGAGGTATATTGTCATCGCCCCATCCACAATTTTTTTGTGGACACTCTACAGATCACAATTTTTATTTAATTTTGACGAAACTTGAAATAAGGTTTATCTCCAAAAGATCTTGGTTCCTTTCAATGTTGGCATTTTCATGTGGACGTATATTGTCATCGCCCCGTCCACAATTTTTTTGTGGACACTCTACAGGTCACAATTTTTATTCAATTTTGACGAAACTTGAAATAAGGTTTATCTCCAAAAGATCTTGGTTCCTTTCAATATGGGCATGTATCAGATCGAAACTTCATGGATTATGGACCCTGATCGTACAAAAAAAAACATGTTTTTAGCTTGTGGACACTCTAGAGGTCACAATTTTTATCCGATTTTGTTAAAACTTGAAATATATGTTAATAACCCAAATATCTCTGTTCCTTTCGATATTTGTGCATATATTGGACCGCAACTTCCTGGATTATGGCCTGATTGTACAAAAAATCGTGTTTAACTTTTTAGGTTGTTGTTCCTCTAGAGGTCACAATTTTTATCTGATTCAAAAAAAATATTCAAATATACTGTATCACCGTTATTAAATTATGTTTCGGTTCATGATAATCGGATGTAATATCAAGGTTGGAGACCCTCTAGAGGTAACAATTTTGATATGATTTTGACGAAACTTAAAATATAATGTTTATATTCCAAAGATCTTGGTTCCTTTCTATATTAGTGCATATTGGACTGTAACTTCCTGGATTATGGCTCCTGATTGTACGACAAAATGGCCACTCCTTGTACACAAATAGTGTAAAACGTTACAATCATTATCCGATTTTGATGAAACTTGAAATATATATTTATATTCCAAACGTCTAATGACTGTATATTTCTGGATTATGGCCCCTGATTGTACGAAAAATCGCTTTCTTTTTAGATTGTTCTTTGTCCATCTCTTGCCAAATGTGGGTGTGTCTTGCATGGCAACCGCTTGTTATCCCGCGCCGAACAAAGTTAGGGATATTGAAATGGGGTGTGTCCGTCCGTCCGTCCCAAAACTTCGTGGATTATGGCCCCTGACTGTACAAAAAATCACGTTTTTAGCTAGTGGACACTTTTCAGGTCACAATTTTCATCTGATTTTGATGAAACTTGAAATGCATGTTTATAACCAAAAGATCTTGGTTCCTTTCGATATTTGCACATATCGGAGCGTAACTTCCTGAATCATTGCCCTTGATTGTATGTAAAACGTTTGAATATATCACCATTACACACTAATAACAGCTGAGTTCGAATTTCGTGAAAATGGGACCAAAACTGCCGGACAAATGGCCGCCCCTCGTAATCAAATAGTGTAAATATATGGTATATCAAGGTTGTGGACCCACTAAGTCACAATTTTGATGAAACTTGAAATATATCTTTATAACCCAAAGATCTTGGTTCCTGTCGATATTCGTGCATATCAGATCGTAACTTCCTGAATTATGGCCCCTGATTGTACGAAAAATTGCTTTTTGTTTAGCTTGTTCTCTATCCATCTTTTGGAGAGTCTTGGCGTATCTGCCTGGCAGCCGCTGGTTGGTAATTTTAAACGATTTTTACAAATTTTGAAACAAAGATTTGATATCAAACGAATGTGAAAGAAATTAGTGCTAATTTATAAATACACAAGATTAAACATACATTATGCAAGAGCTAAATCTGCCTATTGTAGGTCTTTCTTTAGGCCTGAAATGTTATCTAAATTATTAATTAGACATTATTAATTAACTTATCCAGACCATAATCAACTCTTGATGTCATCGCTGTTTATTGGATTAGGTTCTGATTTGCTGTCCAACTTCCTTTCATGATTTAATCATGAAATGGATATTGGAGCTATGTTTTTTTATCGTGCCGACTTTAGTAATGATGATCGAGGCTAGGCCGAAAATTCAATTGCTAAAATCTTGGTTCAGAGTGGATCAATTTGACTGAAATTTTCAGCAGATTCTCTTTACCCATTATCTAGTTTTTAATTATTAAAGTGAGAACTGTCAGCTCTTTATTTAATCTCTCATAATGTATCTTTAAATGATACCCAGGTTACAGTGTATAGTAATTGTGCCTTTGGCTATTTAGGAATTTCTGTGATTTATATTTTTTGTGTTTCCATGGAAACAAATTTGACGTAGTTTTTGGTGTTCAATTTTTATCCGGAGCATATCCCATAAACTATTCAAGAAACTTTGTACAAACATCAACCAATTAAAGTAGTTGTGCCTTTTGCTAATTCAGAATTTCCCTGATTTAATCATTTTTGTGTTTCCATGGAAACAAATTTGACTTAATTTTTATTTCTCATAAACCGTTCAAAATATCTATTGCAGTAGTTGCGCCTTTTGCTAATTAGAAATTTGCCTGATTTAATAATTTTTATCATTTGTGAATTTTTACTACACATTTGAATTAGGTTTTGGTATATAATTATTATTCTAAAGCGTATCTCAGAAACTGGTCAAGATACCTTTATAACACTTTTACATTCATCAACCCATTATTTTTTATTTTCTTTCTGATGACCATCCTTCTCTCCCGATTTCATTTCCGGAGCATATTTCATTATCAAACTATTTTGTACAGACATCAAACTATTATAGTGTTTTATTTTCTGATGTATAAGCTTAATGTTTAACATACAGCAGCTGATTGAGGGAGGCAAAGGTTGTTTTGCAAACCTTACAGGAAGTAGCGACTCTGCCTGTCCGAGCTACTGTGATCAGAGTATGAATCTTCTGACTAGTCCCATTGATATTCCAAGAAGTTGTTTACCCTTATGCCGTCCAAACAAGTGCAAGGGCGATGACTAGTAATCTTGTTTTTATACGCCCACATTTTCATGTGGACGTATTATGCCATCGCCCCTGTCCGTCCGTCCGTCCGTCCACAATTGTTTGTGGACTCTCTACAGGTCACAATTCTTATCCGATTTCGACGAAACTTGAAATATAGGTGTATCCCCAAAAGATCTCGGCTGCTTTCGATATTGGCATGTATCGGATCGAAACTTCATGGATTATGGCCCCTGTTTGTACGAAAAATTCACGTTTTTAGCTTGTGGACCCTATAGAGGTCACAATTTTGATCCGATTTTGTTGAAACTTGAAATGTAAGTTTATAACCCAAAGATCTCAGTTCCTTTCGATATTCGCGCATATCGGACAGTAACTTCCTGAATTATGGCCCCTGATTGTACGAAAAATCACGTTTTTAGCTTGTAGACCCTATAGAAGTCATAATTTTTATCCGATTTAAAAAACCGTTCTATTATAACACCGTTACACCCTAAGGATGACTGAGTTCGAATTTTGTGAAAATCGGCCCAAAATTGACAGACAAAATGGCCGCCGTTCGTTCCCAAATAGCGTAAGAATATGGTATATCATGGTTGTGGACCCTATAGAGGTCACAATTTTTATCCGATTTTTTTGAAACTTGAAATGTAAGTTTATAACCCAAAGATCTCGGTTCCTTTCGATCTTCGCGCATATCGGACCGTAACTTCCTGAATTATGGCCCCTGATTGTACGAAAAATCGCGTTTTTAGCTTGTGAACCCTGTAGAGGTCATAATTTTTATCTGATTTAAAAAAACTTATTATTATATCACCGTTACACCCTAAGGAAGGTTGTGGACCCTATAGAGGTCACAATTTTTATCCGATTTTGTTGAAACTTGAAATGTAAGTTTATAACACAAAGATCTCAGTTCCTTTCGATATTCGCGCATATTGAATTGTAATTTCCTGAATTATGGCCCTTGATAGTAGGAAAAATCACTTTCTTGTTAGCTTGTTCTCTATCCATCTCTCGAAAATGTGGGCGTATCCTGCCTGGCAGCCGCTGGTTTATTAATTCATTCAGAATTGTTGAAAATGTTAATTTTAACATGTTTATTTAATAATACCTCACATCACTGTGTACAGATGTATAATACCAGAAATATTGATTTTTTTGTGTTTAGTCATTCACTTATGGAACATTGTGCCAAGTAGGGTTTCTTTGCTTCATTTTACCATTGATAATATATTTGCTTGGTTTATGCACCATTGACCCACATAGAGAAAATCCATTTAACTGCATTAGGTCAAATAGTATTCTATTAAGTATTCACACACAAATCAATAATCTCTATCTCCTGACTGACAAGGTTCCCTCACAGCACTTGTAAGGCTGTAGAAATAATATCAATAACCTTTAAAGTGTTAGACCTTGATTAATTGACCACATATACTTTAGCCATATGCCTTTGTGGATAGAGTGAATTTAATTCAATAAAAGACAATCATTTACTGTTATTTTACACGTTACAGCTCATTCTTCAATCAACTGGGTATTTTCAGCACAAATCAATGTCTTATTTCCTTTGTTTTAATAACTATATTAAAGATTTTCTAGTTGTGTGTTGCTTTGTATTATGCTAAGTACAGTTCAACCAGCTTGCATGCATGAATGGCATTAAGCATAACAATACTATAAATTTTTAAATTCTTGTCTTTGTTTTATTCTACCACAGGTTCAGATAAGGCCATGGAATTTAAGTGATTCTGATTTTGTGATGGATGGATCTCAGCCCCTTGACCCAAGGAAAACAATATTTGTTGGTGGTGTGCCAAGACCTCTACGAGCGGGTAATTATCCAATTTTCTATCAGGAAATCCGATGATTCTTGGCACATTATTTGTTGAAAAGAATCCTCCAGTATCTATAAATACTTTCATCCTGGCTGTGCAAATTTAACAAAGCTTTGTAGACTGCAGATAAATATTATCTTTACAAAATCGCGAACATAGGTATTTATCTAAATGGACAGTGATTATTATGTAATGCTACAAATAAAAAGAATGTTGCAAATAAAATCGCAAAGTATCAAAGGTCCTAATTTTATTTTTGTTTCTTGACAATCATGGCCTTTACTGTAGCATACTTAATATTTAATTAAACTTAACATTGCTGAATTTGAATTACAACATGAAAAATATAGTGTCCGTTTAGCTAATGTTACACTTGAGTTAGTTACTGGATAAAAGAGGAATTATATAGTTCCATAAACCTAGCGCACACTATGCAACAACTTAAGCGACGAGGTTGGTGACAAATATCACCACAATATAAGTGGCCTGCGCACACTACACGACGACTTTGGCGATCACGAAAAAAAAAAAAATGTCACGTGCTTGTTCATGTGACACATGTATTTTAGTCGTCATCTTAAATACTTCAGTTAATATTAATTTGTACATGCTGATCAGGCAGCGGCGTAGTCGTCTTAGTATAACACCGGTCGAGTGCAGTGCATTTATAGTATTCTAAAAGTAATGAGCTCAAATTGGGCTACGCGAGGATGAGTCCTGAAATATTCCAGAGAATCCTGAATATAATTAATCCTCTCATTAGACATTACCAAACAAACAACCAAGATGAGACAACCAATAAGCCCAAGAAAGCAATTGACTGTCACCCTCCGTTTTCTCACTACAGGCACTGGAAAAAACGCCCATTCTGATTACCATCTACGAGTCCTAGGACTATATTATTATTGAGTATATTGCTATATAAATGGAACAATCTACTGGGCCTACCATATGTATTCAATAGCTCACACATTTAATAAGTGACTAAATTGCAAACTTAATTTCAGTCAGTTAGTTAGTTAGGCCATAAATTAGATTACCCGAGTTGCCGACGAAGCGACGATTTTGGCGATTATATGAGACATGTCTGGTATCGGTTGCTGGCGATGAAAAATCGCTTGCAATCAAGTGCGCACACTAGGCGAGTTTTTGATTTTTCATCATTGCCGACTGAAATACCTATGTCATCGCGTAGTGTGCGCCAGGCTTTAGTAGGATAATGATCCCCGCTACTAGGTAGAGCCTATATCTTCTAAAATACACTGTTGTGTGTTGATACAAAGTTTGGCATGAAGCTTTGACTATAATCATTGTATTGAATTTATCATTAGATGAAATATCAAGCAGCCATTATACACATTCCATAAATACACAACAATTTACCAAAACATTTTTGTTTACTAAACCTAAGTGAAGTAAATGTATTTATGTTTGACTAGAATATTGATCAGTTGAAGAACAATGTATAAACACCATTACTAAGAGTAGTTATCATATATTACAGTGGAATTGGCTATGATAATGGATAGGTTATATGGGGGTGTTTGTTATGCTGGTATTGATACAGATCCAGAGTTAAAATACCCTAAAGGTGCTGGTCGAGTGGCCTTTTCTAATCAACAAAGTTACATAGCTGCTATAAGTGCAAGATTTGTACAACTACAGCATGGTGATATCGATAAACGGGTAGGTTTAAAGGCTATTGTTTTATAGATAAATGAAAGTACAATTTTTTTATGGTAAAATATTTTTTCGCAAGTTACATCTCAGACATAAGTATTATGTTTATTATCCCGAGGTAGTTTAGATTTTGAATTCATTAACATGTATTCAGTACTTAAAAAAAGTAGATTATTGTAGATTTTAAAGCTTACAGTCCCTGTGAGTTACATATCTTACATCAGAATAACAATTGAAACTACTGATATCACATTTTTATTAAACATTGTTATTGAGCTTGTTAATTGAGAGAAAATTCTCTGTGTATGAATGTGTGAATTTTTATATGCCCACATTTTCATGTGGACGTATATTGTCGTCGCCCCTGTCCGTCCGTCCACAATTTGTTTGTGGACTCTCTACAGGTCACAATTCTTGTCCGATTTTGACAAAACTTAAAATATAGCTTTATCCCCAAAAAATCTCGGCTGCTTTCGATATTGGCATGTATCGGATCGAAACTTCATGGATTATGGCCCCTGTTTGTACGAAAAGTCACGTTTTTAGATTGTGGACCCTATAGAGGTCACAATTTTTATCCGATTTTGTTGAAACTTGAAATGTAAGTTTATAACCCAAAGATCTCGGATCCTTTCGATATTCGGGCATATCGGCATTTAACTTCCTGAATTATGGCCCCTGATTGTACGAAAAATCGCGTTTTTAGCTTGTGGACCCTATAGAGGTCATAATTTTTATCCAATATAAAAAAACGTATTATTATATCACCGTTACACCCTAGGGTCGACTGAGTTCGAATTTTGTGAAAATCGGCCCAAAATTGACAGACAAAATGGCTGCCGTTCGTTCTCAAATAGCGTAAGAATATGGTATATCAAGGTTGTGGACCCTATAGAGGTCACAATTTTGATCCGATTTTGATGAAACTTGAAATACATATTTATAACCCAAAGATCCTGGTTCCTTTCGATATTCGCACATATTGGATCATAACTTCCTGAATTATGGCCCTTGATTGTACGAAAAAATCACTTCTTTTTTTGAGCTTGTTCTCTGTCCATCTCTTGCAAAATGTGGGCGTATCTTGCATGGCAACCGCTTGTCTTTGTGTTCCAATTAATTTGATAGAAATTAAACATTTCATAACAATACAGATGTAATTTTGTTTGCAGGTTGAGGTTAAACCATATGTACTTGATGATCAGATGTGTGATGAATGTCAAGGTGCTCGGTGTGGAGGTAAATTTGCACCATTTTTCTGCGCAAATGTTACATGTTTACAGTATTATTGCGAATACTGTTGGGCTCAGATCCATTCACGACCAGGAAGAGAGTTCCATAAACCGCTTGTAAAGGAAGGAGCAGATAGACCAAGAGCAGTACCATTTCGTTGGTGCTAATTCTTGGTTTGTATGAGAAGATCTATATGATAGTAAAACATCATCAAGGAAAGGCTGCTACAAAAGAACTAACAGAAGAAGTTATAACATAGGGCTTTTTTGCTTTTGTATTCATCACTATAATATTTAATATTTTAGGGTTATCTGTTATAATGACAGTATTTGTGATATTGTCCAAATATTAATCAATTGGTGGTAGAGCAAAATATTTAGAATGTTTTTTTTTAACAATTCTCTATTTCTAAAGCCGAAACATGCATCATTCTAATATTACATGAATTTTTTTTTTAAACTAAATTTTTCACATCTAGACTTTTCGTGAAGGGAATATCCCCTATTTTTTCACTTTCATACAAACAAGGTTCACTTTTACATTTTATAGTGTGATGAGATAATACCAAAGATATCTTAGCAATTTTCTATGAATTGAATAATGCAATGATGCCAGATCAACCTACCTGGGTTTCATATTGGTACATATACTATCATAATATGAAGTAATGTGTGCTGAACTTAAAACAAAAGTTCTTGTGTGTTTTCATGATGGAAACAATAAGTGATAGGAGTAGTAAAGACTGTTCTGTTGTTGTTAATGTTAAATCTTGTCAGATGTTTTTTTCTAGTCATCTCAAGATGGTGTTTATTGTTTTCTATTGATAATATCACGATTTCCTTTACTGGACAACAACTCCAGAAGGATATGCATATAAAAGTGTATATGAAAACTGCAGGGAATATATATTTTCTAGAAAGATAAAGTGTGGTTAATTGTAACTTTTTTAATTTTCAGTTTTTGTCGCATTTTTTATTCTGGTCAGCATACAGTCCATTTTGTACACAGATACTTAGAATTTTTCTATTCAGATTAGATTTTTAATATATATTAAAGTGAATCAATTTCATCATTCAACGAAACATTTGGTTTAACAATTAGCTTTCGCCACAGTCTTCTTAAAGTCAAAATCTTTCAAAAATCTGAGAATGGACCAAAAGTAAGCATTTAGTTGACAGGTTTAAAATTACTTTCATATTAACATACCACAAAGACAATTTATCATTTTGTTTTGCGTGATCTCTGATTTAATCAAGATCATTTTGATCCTTATTATAGTTTGTGGAGAAAGAGGGGAGATATGAACAGGAAAATAATAAGACAATTTGTATTTCGAAGCGATGTTACGTGTATTGAAATTGTGATATGTTGATATGATATTTTGTAAAACTTGAAGTGCCACACCACTCCATTCTACCCACACATGTTATTGTAACTTTTTACGTTGTCCCTTATTTAATGACTAACTTACACAAGATACGTGTTTTGTGCAGGTTTGTGCAATTTGTTATGGTTGTGCATTTGTTTTGTTCAGTAACACTATTTTGCTCAATGAAAATTGAACTTGTGTTGTTATTTTCCCTAGTCTTATGTTAAAGCATTATTTATAACAGAGAAATATTTTTAATTTTGTATAAAAAAAATATGTACATATAAAAAAGATAAAAAATAATTTTTTTAAATATTTAGTTTCTTACTTATGTGTGGGTTTTTATGGATCAGCATTTATAACTGGAAGTTGTATGTATCATGATATTTTATAAACTGACATCAATAATTGACAAGTTTCTAGTCTGTGTATAGAACAGTTTCGTTACTATTTGATTAGTTTGGTTTTTTTATTGGTGGAGGTTGATTATGTTTGAACGACCCAACTAGAAATTTGTCAAATATGTAAAAACATGTAGAATATTGAGATTTTTAAGGAAAGATTTTATGACATGCATCACCCAAATCATTCTCTTTTCTTACATTGCACTTGCCTTTTTTGTAGTTCATGTTACAGTGACAAGAGATTGCCATTTTTCCAGGCATTCATCTCTATTTCATTGTCTCTTTTTCTATTTCTTGTTCATACAGCACCAAGTATTTTTGCATTTGCAACCTTGTTACATTGTTCAGAATTTCCACCTTTTCAATATTTGCATGTTTGTAATAAATGATAAACATTATTTTTTACATGATATCTTTTTTGATAATTAGATGTTTGGTATTTTGTATTTTTGTGAGTTTTACAAATGTTAGTTATAGATACCATAATCACATTTAAGAGAAAAGCTTCCAGTTACATTTTATATGGGGAAGGGTTTGTTTTTATTATTTAAGTGCTTCTAATAGTTTTATTTAATAATTATTTATGATAGTCCTGTTTGTTAATTTCATATTCTCTCATTTCATTTATTTTTTAAGTTTCTTATCCATGTTTTATATTCTTAGTTTTTAATTTTAAATGTTCAAATTGCCTTGAACAGACTGTGATCATTCAGAAAACATGTAGCTTCCAAACTGTCAAAGATAATTTTTGTACTGAAATTTATATGTTTTCATTCCCAACAGTGCGGGTTAGTTCAAATTACCTGTGATTCCATGATGTGGTGTAAAAATCATAACAGATATAATAGATAATAAATAGGGAGGAATTTAATACTCCTCCCAGATAATAAACAAAAAACGCTGTTTATAAAATCTAGTCTTAATACAATTATTAATACAGTGATTATTATTATAATCTCTACTCAAAATGGTAGAAATTCACCTTAATTATTGCCCTGATTTCTATATTTGAATACAGTGGTTATTTTTTTTAATAAGACTGTGTTTTTATATATAACATGTGCTAGAATATGATAACTAATTTTTTATTTTTTTTTATTTTCCATAATCTGATATGTCTATTTAAAAAAACAAGAATGATTTATGCACCACATTATACTCTACTCTGTTGATAATACTAGGCATCTAGTAAATCTCACTATGTCAAAACAAAAAATGTTGTTCATCTTTTCAGATTTGATTTTTATATTCATTTTCTTTTTTTAAATTTTTGTAAAAATATTTGTAAATTAATGTAATTGAACGATATTCTTTAATAATAATTCTTGTTAAAATATAAATCAGTAAGCAATACCCCTTTCTACTTAATGATAGAATCCAGCACACTTTTTATTGGTACATTTCACCGTTTCAGAACTTGGCTATTTGTATTAAGAAATACTTAACCTGTGTGCACCATTTCTAACAAGTATTTTTTAACTGCAGTAAATTGTACTTCAATTTTTTTTAACTTTTATTAAACTTACTAGTACCTCAAAACTAAAACATACACAATTTTAAACTAATACTCATTTCGAGAATGAAAATTTTCACATTAAATATGGAGAATTTGAAACTCAAAATCAGGTCCAAATGTCTCAATCATGTTGAATAGCCTGCCAGTTTTTGTGTTGTCCTTCCATAAGGACAGAAGATATTTAAAGATGGTTTAAGACAAAGGATTAAATTATTCAATAATTTTGATAACATTAAAATTAATGTAATTGAATATTGTTTGTATATTAGGTAAGTCATTAATCTTTGAAACATCTTTGAATATCATCTGTTGTATGTATTATTGTTGTTATGGTTGTACAATTTGTCTTTTTGTTGATATATTGTTCAATCTTCACTAACAATATTATTATTATCAATATTATTTATATCTTGTATATTGTTTACAAACATTATCTGATGATCAGAAGGTTATATTGGGTAATTTAACTAATAATATAAACATAGAGAGAGATCAGAATTGTTAATAAACAAAGTTTTTGTTGTTGTTTCACCTTTTTAAAAGATAAATTAGTTTTATATTTTCTTTTATAAACAGAGCTTCTTTATTTTTATTATTATTATATTTTTTTTTTCTGTTGGTCATGACCCCGTGAATTGATGAGAAAAGTGGAGGGCTGGGGATTGTTATCCAATCTTCTTCTCTTCCAACCCTAGTCATGGCATTATGTTAATGCAAATATTTATCTATTTTGTTGTATCATTGTTTCTTTATTGGTTAAATGTCCAATCAAAACACCCGATTTAAAATATTTAATTAATTAAATCATAAATTTTTTATTAAATTAAGCAATTTAATGTTATTGGTTTGAGAACAATATGAAATATTCTATCTTTTTTCACATTCTTTGAAAAACTTAAATTCTAAGATCATATAAATTTAAATTTGAAATTCAGTTGTTATAAACTCTGCATCTGGTTCATTTTTTCTGATATATATATATATATATATAAATCACTATAAAGAGTTTCTCTGTATTTGTCAATTTGGCTAATATCTGTATTATAATTCTGTAATCATTAACATTTCTGTAAAAGTTTATAAAAGAATGTGAAAAGATGTGAGTATATTATATGTTTTCTCAATACAATTTACGAAAGGGTATGATATAAAACATACTAGTCACATATTATAGATGTACTAATTTATATTATTAATTAGATGAAATATGTATATTTGGAGAAAAAACTATTTATTATATAATTTTCACTCACCTTGTTACTGTTTTTGATATATTGTGATGTATCTTTTCCCCACAACCCCAGATTATATTTTTGTTTTATTTATTTTCTATTTCAACCCCTTTTTTCACTTAAACCTAAAATTTATTAAGAAATAAATTATTGAGAAAGATTTGTTATTTTAGCCATTGTCTCTCTAATATCAATCTAAGTATGAATGAAATCACCGATTTTAGCCTGTCTCTTATTACCGGTAATTTAATTTGACCTATTCCAACACAAAGTGCAATATTTCAAGTGTTATTGAGACTGGTTTTCTGTTAATATATTATTTGGTTACAGATATAATTTCTACTGCTATAATCTAGTCGGATCAAGTCACAACCTAATTTCATTAACTTCAATGGAATTATATGTCTTGATCAATAAATAACAATGGCTATTCTTCAAATTACAACCTCAATAGTGGCATGTTTCATTTATCAATAAATAATGTATAGTATACTTTTATATATCGGAACATGTATATCAATTTTCATTTATCCTATTAGCTGCTGGTTATTTAGTATTCTTAATTCATTTTGATGATTATTTTATACTAATTGAAATGTCTCGAATCAATATAATCATGTACAACAAAGTGAAGATGTGTTCATGGCTCCTTCAGATAATTTTTATACTCAAATATCTTGTTACAAATGACCTTAACAATGGTATTCTTGGCATATCACTTGGTGACAGATGTCCTCATGTCCACCTTATTAATTATAGAATTCATATATTATTATAAAGGAGCCCTGGATTCTGATAAACAGCTTCAAAATAATTCAATCCTATTTCTATGATAGCTGTTTATTATAGAATTTCATCATTTCATTATTAGCAAACACAGTATTAGAAAGAAATTTTATATTTTGTCAAAATATGTGTGATTAAGTTATAAATAAATACTAAATTTATTTTGTTCTAATTATTTTTGGAGCTAAGAATTTTTTGATATAAACAAAGCCCACAAGTATAACAATACTATTTATGATATATTATAAATATATGCCTGTAGAGATACATTTTATTAAATTATATAGAAATAGGAGAATCATGCATTTTCTTCTTTAGTTAAATGGTAATATGCTTGTAAAACTTACTGTATCTTGACCAATTTTCATGCCAATTGTGTTTTGTACATGGGAAGTTTCTTAGATGTTTTGTTAGATGCCAAGTTGTGAATTACAAAGTTTCTATGTTTTTAATAAAATCAGATTGTTCTTTTACTTCCGACTTCTTTATGTCTTTAAACATTTTTTTGGTTTCTTCAATTTCAGATTATTTTTTTTATATCATACACTGTAACATGGCACTGTTTTTTTAATATGGTTGAACGGAATTAAGTATTCATGTTTTTATTGTTGTAATTTGCTTGATTTTTTGCTGCTAAGTTATTTATACTTTTCAAATAATTTTTAATATCTTTCTAACTTTGACATTTTGTGTATGGAAGTTCTTCAGGCAAATAAAGGTTTCGATAGTAAAAGCATGTCTTAGTTTTACTGAACTCTAGTTCCTAGATGTGTTGGCTTAATTCTCTACCAAAATTATTTGCATGAATGAATATGGTATATCTATGAATAAAAATAACCTTAACTATTGACCCTTGCAATTAACTAACATTTCATCTAATGGCACCTTGTTTGTACTGACAAATAATTTAACAGTTAAAAAGTTGAAATTGAACATCCCTATTAACAATTGTTCTGACTGCATGAAAATCTAACAAATACATAAAGACAGGTCTGATTGGCCACCAGGGAATATGGTATTCTTTTGGGTCACCATTGATTCATGGACGCCGACAGTTGCTTGACATCAGGATGAGGGGGCGGGGGGGATGAGATACAATTAATTATTAGAGTGGAGTTGAATTAATGAGATTCGCAACAAGCTTCCAGCTGCAAGTCAATTTTCCACTTAATCAAACACCAGATTTAATCTCCTTGAAGATGGGACTGTCGACTGTAATCATTAACCAAAACAATTTCATCTAGATTTCTGAACATATAGACCCAATAAAGAGATCCATCGACCCTCATATTACTTTGTCATCTGCAATTGAACTAATTTTATTGTTTATCCAAAAAGATTATGGAATACCTTAATTCATTTGTGGGATATGTGCATATATGTTACCTATGTTAAAATAATAATTTAAAGAGGGCAGGATGCAGACCTCTGAAAGTGTTCTAGAGATGTGATTTTTCTGGCATAAAAGGTCACTTTTGGGCAGTAATGGCAGAGGGGGGGGGGGGAATAAGGTGCTACTTTCAATTAATTGAGCAAAAGACAGCCCTCCAAATCATTTTTGTTGACCAATGGTTGGGAGAAATAAAATTTACCTAAATTGAGACTGGGTTGGATCTACCTGAAAATAGTTTTAAAACTGAATAATTGTTGCACCTGACAAAATAAAATACAACAGTTTTAATTATTCTTGTATGTCTACCAACTGTGAAAAACCATCAATGAATTTAGTCTAGCAATCTTTTGCCATCCCACTAAGAGACTGCATGTTGCTATGAATAAGATTTAAAGTTGTTAATAATATAATTATGGTAGAAATCTAATTTACAACCGGTATAATAGTAAAATCTGTTAATGAGTTGCTCGACACTAGGTTTCTATTTATTGGTAGAGAGCTAAAGGCAATTTCCTCAACTAATTTCCCTTCATACTGGACTTGTTAGATAGAGCTGTGAAAAGTGATTTAGACAAAAAACGAAGTTGTGTTTTATCTTGGGATCCAAACTTCCAGAGGTCGTAATTTCAGTGCTAGGTTCCTAATTGAACAAAGAATATTTAGTATGGTGTATTGGTTGGGTGTATTCAGTGGAGCATATGTACACTAATTTGATTGTAGGAGGCTTGATGTGGGATTAACTATCTACTACTTGTTTCAATCAATAATCACCTAGATGTGTCCACTCAATTATATGGATGTAAAAGGAATATAACTGCTAACCAGACACTGCTACAGGAAATACTGTGATGTATAGATTCTAGTTTCCAATCCATTCTCCATTAAACAACCTTAAAATAACCTTGACAAACCAAATAACTCTTGTCATTATTAAACCACTTTTGAAATAAAGTCAACTAACTAAAGAATTTGGGTGACATAGTCAGAATGTCAGTATTAAAGAGAACAGTGTAAAATCTCACACTTTATAATGAATCTCATAAATCACCTTGCCCACACATTGTATATCATGGGCACATTTCAATATTTTATTAAAATGGTTGGAAAAAAAACATAATGTATAGTCCCCATGGTAAGATTGACATTTATCTGCTCAGATTTAAATTTTTTGACATAGAATACTTTCAGTAGTTATGAAGATGTGGCTTTCAGATTTCGAGTTTTCTCAAGTTAAGAAATTGGCAGTTCCTTGTGACCTAGGATGGATTTCAATATGTCAGTGTCTACAAAGTTCATGTGTTATAATGATGACAAAATTAAAGTCCATCTCTACAGTCCTACTAATGTGATATTGGAAGACTTTGGGAAATAAAAAGCCAATGCCCACCTCACAGAAATTTTTCCCCCATGAATACCATAGAAAATTTGCCCCCCCCCCCACCACCACCACACACACACACACCATACAGAGAGTAAATTTAGACCACAGTTTTTATAGGCCCACATGGAAATGTGGTCGTATATTGCCATCGGTACGTTCAGACCCTACAGACTACATCTATCATTTGATTGTTTTGAAATTGACATATATTGTTTACTTTACATTAGTGAGATGAAAAAGCCTATTTAATTTCAGCAATATCTGGCAATTACTTCTGGCGTTATGGGCCTTGTTTGACTTTGTTGAACCTTATCACTCAAATGACAAAATTTATCATCTGATCTGTATGAAATTTAAATGCATTATTTACATTAGTAAAACGAAATTTCTGTAAATTACTGCCAGAGCTAAGTAAGACCCTTGCTTCTGTTTGTAGAATTGTAAACCCTCAAATGACAAAAATTATAATCTGATCTATATGAAATTGCCTTGTAAATTCCCACCCATTACCGACAAAAGAAGAAATATGCGACAACCTTTGTCGTGCTTGTTTAGATTTGTTCAATTTAAACTGATTGTCCTAAACCACCCTATGGATTCCAACCTGCATGTACCTTTGTAGTTTAAATTGTATAAATATAATAGTGCAATTTACTTGGAAAATTTAAGTTGTAACAAATATAAATATACATAATGAGTAAAAGACAAATAAGTAAACAAACAAACAAACAGTATTGATACAGGGTGAAAATGAACACCACAGCACAGACACCCATTAAAACGTTTAGTTGCATGTGGATTTTTAGATTTGATCAAATGAGCTCAACTCCACAGGAGTATGGTCTGAACATCTTCAAAAACTATTGTTTTATTGTTTTTTTCCCCTTGTATTCTGGAATGTCTTTTTGTAGAGGATAGCATAATTATGTAATATCTTGACAGAGTTATTTACAACAAAACACTATGCATAGGTGTCCTTTATGTGCACTTTGCTTTTTGGTTACTATAATTTGATTTTCATACTTTCCTTCAGTTTGAGTATTCTTAAGTATACAAGATACAAATACAAGATACAAATTTTTGGCCTGATTTGGAAATCTTCCATCAGGACCATTTAAAAATCCAAAATATGGTATTCATATTAAAGGAAATGCTTTATGTGAGTTGGTTATTATTCTAATGGTACTGATAACTGATTTTTGTCCACATGTCATAGCAAATTGTCCATTCTAGGTTTCTGAATGTATTTGCTGGTAATTAAGTCTGGTGTGTACTGGTAATTATAATACAGTAGTGTGCAGATAAGGATTGAGTAGCCTGGTGTTAATTGATTTACCCAAATAAATCCACTTATAACAAAAGGTCAATTATATTTGAATCCCATTACAAATTATGTGATACTTTCTTTAATACTGTAGGCCTACATTGTACATGTGGGAGAATAAATGAACGAGCTAAATTTGTAGGAGATTAAATGATGGCTCATATAGTATTTGGAAAACGGGCAAGAAATTGTTAATGTTTGTTAGAATAATATTGATAAAAACTAAGGATCCAGAGAAACTATGCCTTATAATAATGTATCTTTCTGAAAAGAAAATAAAGATGAGGAAAACTTTAAACATCAGCAAAGGATTCTATATTTTTCGCTTAAAAATAGCCAATGTGAAATGCTTACAAATTGTTCTTTAAGTGAGAGGGTTTAATGTTCACAAAGTCATTTGAGGACTAAATATTGTGTATTTTATTTTAAAAAATTTGCGAAAGAGAGAGGGAGTTGGAGTTTAATGTCTGCTTGAGAATTTGGTACAATTTTATTTCAATAATTCACATGCACGTAGTGGTCTTTAACAGTGACAGGGAACCCATGCGGTTGGGCAGGCAACCTTGTTATATATACTACAAGCTTCGGATCAAACTAAGCCACCTGACTCAATGACAGACCTTATGATCTCAAGAGTACATGTTAGACAGACCAACCCTCCCCTGAAAAACTACATTAAGTGAAGGGAATTGGGTTATAACTGCAATGTGAATTGGAACTAATAACAGTAAAATATACACTGGCATTATGCTGTGTCTGGCTAACTGCTAAAGAACATGAGTGAGTTATTTCCAACATTTTCATGTCAAAATAATCACCAGAATGGTGATCACCACATTGATGCAGTGCAAGAGGGGCCTGCTGAAAGACAACTTTGAGCCCCTGATTAACAGATTCTTAATGAGGATTTTATCACTGTCAACAGAACTTCGGCATATTACCCTATTGATCGCAACCCAGGTAATCAAATAAGATGACAAACTGTTATCAAGGGAACATTGAAGGAATAAATTACATTGGACACTTCCAATTCAACATCGGCAACATCGCAACTGCCAATGGGTGTGGTTCCTACACATTATGGCATAAATTGGAACACTTACCAACTGACATAAAAAATTTGTTCAAAGTAACTAGACTTTCAATCCAAAATTATTTTTCCATTTCACCATTTTCTAATATAGCTTTGTCTTCTTTCTTCTGATCATTAGTTCATTATGACAGAAATTCCCTTGTCTGTGGGCCTCCTCCAATCCGAAACCAAAACATCACTGAATCACAAACTAAGGTCATGATCAATGGTATCTCATAGGAGAACCTTTTACATACAGAAATCTGATGAACAAAAACAGTATCAACTTTGACTGATATTTTG